CGAGAAGGGGAAAAGAGAAAGAAGAAAGGAAAAGGAAAAAAAAAAAAAAAGAAATTTCATTCTGTTCTGATTCTCGACGACAACGACGACAACGACGACACAGTTCGACGCGTCGCGCCCACTTTCTCCATACCGCCGCCCGCTGTCAGCGAAGTGATGCTCGGCGCTTCTTTGAACCTGACCTGCGTCGCCGTCGGATCCCCGATGCCGTACGTGAAATGGAAGAAAGGCCCGTCCTTGGATCTCACTCCGGAGGACAACCTACCAGTTGGTAGAAACGTGCTGATGCTCACGGACATCAAGGAGACCGCCAACTATACTTGCACCGCAGCCAGCGATCTCGGCGTCATAGAGGTTACGTCGATGGTGAAAGTTCAATGTTCGTATCGCATCCTATATCGCGACGCGTCGTGTCTCCTATCCTATCGTATCGCATCGTATCGTATCGTATCGTATCGTATCGTATCGTATCGTATCGAGATGGATCGAGATGGATCGAAATCCTCGTGTAAATCCTCGGAGATCACACGCGCGCACCGACCTATCGGACTACGTAACGTAACGTAACGTAAAACGATCAATCACGCGGATCGGTGTGCNCGACCGTGTTCGAAAGCAGAGTACGTTGTACGTTGTAGGTACGTGTATATACGGCGAAGCGAACGATGCCGAGTACGCCGAGTGGAGTGGAGTGGAGTGGAGGACCGATCGATCCGGTTTACGCGTTACGCGAAAAGATCGGAGGGGACGATCGTGTCGTAAATTGGTGGGAGGGGAGGGGGAAGAATCGGAGACAGGGGAGAATCGCTTTCTAATGAAACGACGAATAATTTTAGCTCTGCCTGGGCCCGCGGAGAACGTTCAAGTGTCGGACATCACGGCAACATCCGTGAAGCTGACCTGGTCTTACAAAGATCCGGACGAGGTCCAATACTACGTGATACAGCACAAGCCGAAGCACGTGAATCAAGCGTTCGCCGAGATATCGGGCATCACCACCATGTACTACCACGTGCGGAGCCTCAGCCCTTACACCGAATACGAACTTTACGTGATAGTCGTGAACGCAATTGGGCGTGGTCCCCCGAGTGCCCCTGTGACGGTCACCACTGGAGAAACGAGTCAGTATTTCCTACTCCTCCTTGGCCCCCAACCCCCGTCACCCCTATGTCTCCGTATATTTTCTTTTTCTTCATTTTATTCATTGGCGCACGCGCGCGCGCGCGCGCGCGCACGCACGCACGCACGTGTTCCTCTCCGAAAATTTTCCGCATATTTTCGTTCGAGCGCGCGTTTGTCGTCGAGAAATACGCTCCGGGATATCCGGCGCGCGTTTCGAATCGAACGAAAACTTTGCGACTCCCGTACACGATATCTCGTGACGATGAAATATATGTATCGTGACGAGTTTACCTAGAGAGAATGGAATGGACGGCCAGCTTTTTTTCCGCGCACCCGCGTACCCGCGGCGAAAGATTGCTTGTTACGAGCCCGACCGATCGCGTACGAATTTTTGCACGTAGATAATGTTTTTTGCACCACCAAAGGAGGAACAAGTTTTGATACGGTTTTTGAGGGAAATTATACCTTTTTTTCCATGCTGTCCG